CTGGAGTACCCTTTAGAACCTCTACTTTTACTTATATCCCTACTCTCTATTATTGTAACAAGTGCCTGTGAAGTCTCAATGCCCGTATCTTTTCTTCTAGTCTCTTCATTATATAGACTATCTATTATCATAGATAAAGATAAAATACCATTTGAAGTAAAATTGCTAAGATACACTACCTGTAATTCATCATCTAGAGCCATTTTCATTGTGTTTAACTTATTTACCAACTCTTAAAATTTACTCAAGTATTCTACAAGTAATTGTCCATCTCTTAGCTTCAGATTGACAACATTTCTAATGATAAAATTCTTATTTCGAGCATTTTTCTCTCATGCATATTTTCTAGTTTGTTTAACAAAACTTGTGCATTTATTTCTTTGTTTATATAATGGTAGATATTATTATTCACCCACTATTGGATAGTTCCTATAGTCTTTCTATGCATCTTCTCCCAATCATCATTTAATTTTTCCATTGGCTTAACAATTTCTAATTTCATCGAATCTTATAAATCTTTACAATAAAAAAGATCCTCCATCTTTGACTTCCAAATTGAATAATTTGAAGAAGACAATTTTATCATAGGACCAACAAATTCCTCAATCATAATTCACACAATTAATCTCAGACCACAAATCAATCAACAAACCAGTCAAGCAAGCTCTGATACTACTTGTTAGGACTTTTAAATATTCTAATTTACTTTTGTAAATTAAGACAATCTCAAAATTAATTCAGAGAATCCCAATTTAATGCTTTCAAGCTAACCAATTCGTAAACAGTTCTAATGCATATAGAGAAATAATCACAAAAATAAAAGAACACAGAATTTACATGAAAAACTCTCCACTGTAGAGGAAAAAACCATGAGAAAAGTTTTGAATTAAATCCACTATCACAGAAATTCGATACACAATGTTATGAAGATACAAATTCCTCTAATCAAATTTACTCTCTTGAATGATCACACCAAGATAATTAGAGATAATAATTCTTCAAAAAATTGACTTAAAAAGTAACAAATTACCAATTTTTTGTCAACAAATCCTGCTTCGATTTCTGTGTAGATAACAAAACAACTTTCTTTTTTTGTCTTGGAAACCGCTTGCAGAGAAAGTCCTTAAAAAAACAACAAATCAAGCCTTTCTCCTAGTGTTGACTGTGGGTTGCATAATGTTTTTTTTTGCTTTTTTGGTATTGCTTTTTCTGCCTTTTTTTTCTTTTTTTTTTTTTTTACTTCCGTGCAGCATGTATATATAAAAGAGAAAACTGCATCCCTAATTGTCCTTGTGGGCTGGACACGAAAAACAACAATTCCTATATTGCTCCTTCGTACCTCATGTCAACAATATATACATATTAATGGTTGATTAACTAGTAATATATACATATGGTGGATGGTGCAGAAATATATACCTCTAGAAGGAGGCAAATCAAACTTGGTGCAGACCAGTTGGGGTTTGATGGGTCTAATTCATTCTGGCCAGGTTAGTTTACATAAGCTTTATGTTTTGTTTATTTATTTATCAGCTTTGTTTCCCCGTCATACACATATAAAGAAACATTCCCGTATTACATACAGGCCAATCGAGATCCATTACCTCTTCATCGTGCAGCAAAATTGATAATTAACTCTCAACTAGAAAATGGTGACTTCCCCCAAGAGGTATGATCCCCCTTTAGTCAGATACTTACAGTTAGATATATCTATGTATATTACATATAAACAATCATTTTTTACAATGAATCAACTAATCACTGATCTCTTATGTCAGGAAATAACTGGAGTGTTCATGAAGAACTGCCTGTTACATTATGCAACCCACAGAAATATCTTCCCATTGTGGGCTCTTGCTGAGTACCACAATCATGTTCCTTGCCAACCAA